CCGTAGCATCTTCCCATTAATTCTTCTATTTTTTTAAATTATTTTTAATTTACAATTTCAATAATATAAACTTTTAGCTAATCAAACAAATCAAAAATTCTCATTATATCCATTGTGTCCCCTAATTGTCAAGATTCTCAATAATTTGGTATGTCGAGACTTGAGATGATCTTTCTACAAAATTTTGGACCCCACATAATTACAGTCCAAAAACTTTATAATAAATAATAAAATCTCCATAACTTTGTCGCCTACTTAAGCCTTGCTTCATTAATTTTCCACTTTCCTCGCAACAAAATCCCATTCACATTTTTCCTTTTGTTCGAACGTTAGAAACAAAAAAAAATAAATAAATAAATAAAAAAAATAAAAAAAAATAACAATAATAATAATAATAATAATACACACACAATTTTGTCGTTTCTTCATACATTGCTCAATATAAGAAAATCTAGTTAGATATCCTCAACAACAACAACATAGATACATGTTAATTAGTTAACACGAAAAAAAAAAATATAGATATTTACTAAGAGACATGAAAGAAACATTTCGCAGAAAACAAGGCGGCTCGTCGCCATGTGCCGCCTGCAAGCAGCTGAGGCGGCGATGCACACCGGAATGTGTGTTTGCGCCCTATTTTCCGGCGGACGAGCCACAGAAGTTCGCCGGAGTTCATAGGGTTTTTGGGGCTAGCAATGTCACCAAGATGTTACAGGTAATTATTACATTTCTTCTTAATTGTGACCATGTTTAATTTGGTTCTATTGAGATCATGTGTATATTGATCATGGCTAGGTTTCTATTTGTATATCATTCGGTAAGTCATATATGTTAAGTCGTCTTAACAATTAGGCTGACATACTTTTTTCTCACAAATGTGCATGCTTTTATTAGAAAACATCATACTTTGAAAAACAACATACAAATAAGTAAGACTAGTCGATTCACCTAACTGTTAGACTGGCTCACACAAGATTTGTGGTATATCGTGTTACTAAAGTGTAGATCTTTATACATTTGTTTAGTTGTTTTGATCACCTGAATGTTCTAGATGGATTGTAAAATAATTGGGTTACATAATTTTTATTTATTTATTTATTTATTTTAAGTGTAAAGAGGTCAAGATAACACACTTATTCACAAACATCTTTTCTATCATTTTTCATTTTTTTCCAAATACATCATGTTTCTTTAGCCCTTTTGAATTGTCAAAAGATGTATGCATGGAAGATAGGACTAAAAAAGATGTCTTGTACTGAGAAAATTAGTTGAGAAAGATGTTGATTGTATATATATAGAATCATGCTAATTGCTATGACATAAAATTTGACATAATATACACGTGACACGATCTTTTATTTTAGTTTTACACATCACATCAACTTTAAAATTAAAACTTCATTTATATCAACCATTATGTCAGTATGTTGTGTCAAACCAATATAATTTGCATACATAACTAAACAAAACCTCGACGATTCCTTTTTCTTTTATTAATATTAATTTCCTTTATTATCAGGAGTTGCCAGAGTCCCTGCGAGGAGATGCCGTAAGTAGCCTAGTCTACGAAGCTAATGCCCGGATGCGGGACCCAGTCTACGGGTGTGTAGGGGCTATTTCTCACCTGCAACAACAGGTTGATGGGCTCATGCAGCAGTTGGCTCTGGCCCAAGCCGAAGTGGTCCACCTTAGGGTCCATCAAGCAGTGTTGGGCCAAGCCAATAGCCCAATCGACACGGGGTCCCCACTATCATACGCCTTGTTAGACCCCAAACCATCTTTCGACTTGGATGTAGTGCTTGAGCAGGACTCACTCGAAGAATGTATGTGGTTGTGTAATTAGAGTATAAAACTGTATAAAGTTAAAATTCATATGATATGAAACAATTGATTATGAGTCACAAAAAATGCCACTTCTATATTGTAATGAAAGTGGTTTATGGCTTCTAAATGGTGTAAAACTTAGCAAGTTTTCAACTAACAATAAGAAAAAAACAATCAGCTGTACTCCAAAGTTACAAAAGTTCGCGTAATATTAGCTTCTATTTTCACCAGACACGCTTCACTAATAGGTTATTAGCAGAGAAAACTAAATGCAGGAACTCAATTTCACGATCTCGTTATTGCAATTAGATCGTCACTAAAATTGTAGATTATGCTATTATGGTTCTCGTATTTTTCCTCTGTTCTCCGCTGGCTTGGTTCTCAACACTCATCGAGCAAGAAGAAATCTTAACTGATGTAAGGAACAAGCAACAAATGAAAACCGTTAGATAGCCCTTCACTTTTTTGTTCCTGGTACAAACAACTAACAAAAGCATCAAGTACATGAGAAAAGTTTACAAGTACTTGATACAAAAGAACTCATCCATCCCACAACAACAAACAACGAACGAAAAATTAATAAGAAAAAAAGTGTCCATCCATAATATACACTCCCCAAAAGAAACACGAAAATCCACCAATAATTTCACATAAACGATACCCGGAAATTTTTTTTTAGACATTGGGGTCAATAAGCTCCCCATTCAAGTACTCTCTGTAGGCAGCAACTGGCCAGCTGAAGCCTCTCCAGACGAGCTTATTGGCCAGTGGCACGTCGATTATGATCTCCTTCATTGTGGGCTTCTTCTCATCTCTAATGGCAATCAAGTAGCTCCGGCCAACCCACCCGATCCAACCGGCAATGTACAAGAACAATATGCCCGGAGTTATGAACTCACCCCAGTGCCTCTGATCCCCGCTCACGATCAGGTGAGGAAGACCGTCTGAACCGCACAGTAGTCCCACTTTGCCATAGTTGTCAAACCTATATAACAAAAACAAGACAATCAAAGGTTGTTACAATTTCTTTTTTTTTTTTTCGATTAATGAGCGAAGTAAACCATTGGTGATGAAAGTTGGGCTGTGTTTTGGTAAGCATATAAGCTAGCTTATAGCTTATTTGATTAGCTTATAAGCTTCTTGTATTCAAATAAGCTTGATTTGTTAGGACGAGTATTTTTAAAAAGTTCGAGCTTTATCTCATTTCTTTTGGTAGCTTTTCAAATAAACTCAATGAAATTTTTATTTCAACTAGGTTCTCAACTAATTTTGCCAAACACTTTCATCATATAATTAGTTTTT